ATGTGACATGTGACTCCACGCACAGCACTCATACATACTTACTTCCCCCCACCCCCTCCCCGCGCCTCTGCTCCCCGCAGGCATCTTCTTGGAGCTCCTGGGGCCATACATCCTCACAGACCACCTCGTCATAGCGCTGACTTTCTGAGTCCACTTGTACACCCCTCAAATCTCTCTCTCCCCTCTTTGCCCTGTTGCTGCTCCCTGCAGGCATTTTCCTGGAGCTCCTAGAGCCATACATCCTCACAGACCACCTCAGCACGCTCCCTCCTGAGGTAAGACCTGCCTCCATGCATCTGTGCGTGGGAATGAAGTGAGGTATCACCTGCTTAGATGTACCTTCGCTCAGAGTTGAGATTGGGCCAGATGGAGGAACCGCCTCCGCATGATCCTTTCTGGACGTAACACCTGCCTAGATGCACCTGTGTTTGTTAACCTTGACAATACGGTCTCACCAGGTACGGGAGGCATGCGCTAGTGGAATACCGGGAATGGGAGGGAACATTAGTTTTTGAGAGTGCCTGGTGATGGTATAGGTGCTTTGTTCATGCATGCGCATATGTGCGCCCTCGTAAACTCTGGTGAAGATGGTCTGTCTCTGACCCTCTGTGTGTGCTCTCTTCTCCCCTCCCTGGCACCCCTTACCAGGTGATGCAAGCGCTAGTGGAGCATTACAGTGAGAGGGGGTGGCTGTCACGCGTGCAGCAGTGTGTGCTGCACATGGATATCGCCTCGCTCGATATCAACCAGGTGTGATTGATCTCTTTATTTTGCATGTGTGGGTTCTCTAGCACACTGCTACCCTTCCAACCATGAGTGACGGCGATGGGTACGTGCAGCAGTGTGTGCTTCACATGGACATCGACTCACTCGACATCAACCAGGTGCGATTGATCTCCATCTGCGAGGGTAGCGTTTCTGCACGAGTCGGTTCTCTACCAACCAATGAGTGATGGCGATGCGTGCAGCAGTGCGTGCTCACATGGACATCGCCTCGCTTGACGTCAACCAGGTGCGAACTCAGCCCCCTCCTTTGATTCGTCTTTGAGACTTCTCAAACTCGTGCAGCAGTGCTGCACCACCTGGTTGACGTCAGGTGTGAACTCAGCCTCCTTTGATTGATTGGCCTTTGAGATTTGTCAAATGTGTGCAGCAGTGCGTGCTGTACTGCACATGGACATTGCCTCGCTCAATGTCAGCCAGGTTTGGTTCGGCCCCTAGAATGTGCGAAACGAAACAACAGTCCGTTCATACACATGCACCCACGCCCACCCATTTATTATTCCCCCTTTCTCTGCACACCCCCTTCCCCCCATCTTTATCGCTCCCAGGTGGTGCGCCTGCTCCGTCAACACCCTTCTCTCCCATGCACACACCCTTCCATGCCTTTTTTTCCCTTTCTCTCCGCCTTTCCTCCCAGGTGGTGCGCTTGTGCCGTCAACACAGCCTGCACTCTGCCCTCATCTACCTCTTCACTCGCGCCCTCGCGGATTTCGTCTCGCCAGCCCAGCAGCTCCTCTCCACCCTCCTCGCCTCCTCCTCCTCCTCCATCTCCTCCTCCTCCTCCACCTCCGGAACTCACAGCAGTGGTTCGGGGGGGGAGAGGAGTCGGGAGAAGCAGAGGCATAAGAAGCAGGAGGGGGAGAATAAAGAGGAGAGGGAGGAGGGCCGGCAGTGCGGGTGAGTTGGCCCTTCATCAGCTCGTGACTTCAATTACTGGAAACAAGAGCAGTTTGTGTGAAAATAATGAATTTTGAGTGACTCCAAAAGGCTCCTCGTAAGCAGCTTGTTACTTTAATGACTAGAAAGAGAGGTTTTTGTGGAAAGTGACATGTCATTCTACACCTTTCTCACATCTCTCCTTTGCCTACTCCCTCTTTCGATTTCCCTCCCCGCTCGTCCTATCCCTCTTGTCCTTCTCTTCTACTCTCTCCCCCCACCTCAGCTACCGCCTGCTGCTCTTCCTCAAGCTCACCTTCTCCAGCCTCAACTTCCCTCCAGGTAAAATCACCTGCGTGCTTCTCTACTTTGTTTCCTTTTTAGGCGTCCCAAGAATCAACTTCCTTTCAGGAAGCACCCTGTCTGCTTCTTGTTCTCTGGTCTTCGAGGTCAACTTCTTGCGTTGCAAAATTGCAAAATTCTCTCCTGTTCGCTGTGGTTCTTTTGTGGTGACTATTCAGTCTCGTACTGTCTCTTAGTCCCTTGTACCCCAATCTTGCAACGGGAGGAGAGATGGACTTGTCCAGATGTCCCTCTGGACAAGTCCATCTCTCCTCCCATTGCCCATCCTCACAGGCAGTGGCACCATCGCCCCATCCCTCCTGCCGTCAGCCCAAGCCAAACTCTTCAACTTCCTCCTCAAACCCCACCGCCCTTGTTGCTCTCTGTCTGTATCACCCCCCACCTCCCCCCCTCCCCTTCCCTCCCATTACCCACCCTCACAGGCAGTGGCGCAATCTCCCCGTCTCTCCTACCCTCAGCCCAAGCCGAACTCCTTAACTTCCTCCTGAAACCCCACCGCCCACCCCACCACCGCTCTGCCTCTCTCTCCCCCTCCTCCCACGCCCTCCTCTGCTCGCCCCTCGCTCGCCTTCTTTCCTTCGATCCCCGCGCCACACTTTCTGTGCTGCGCGTGATTCTCCGCTCTGTGTCCATACTGGATCAGCCACAAACGAGTACAGAGCAGCCCATAACGAGCGAGGATTCGACGCTGGTGAATGGTAGGGGTGCGGGTGCAGCTTATAACGAGGATGCTACTGTAGATCCAGCCGCTGGTGGTAGACTTGTTTATACTTTACTAGAAATAGTTCGCTCCTGGTGCGAGGCTGCGGATGCAATAAGGAGTAACGAGGACTCCAATAAGGGAGGAAACGACACTGTAGCTGTAGGTTCGGATGCAGGCTCGGAACATGGCTCGGATGTAGGTCTGGGACTAGGCTTGGGCTTAGACAGGCTCGGGGATGCAGCAGGCAGGGTGCTCGAGCTCGTGGCAGAGGCGGCAGCAGCGGGGAAAGTGGAGCTAGACCGAACCTCCCTTAACACAATCTTTGTGTATCTTACATCTGCGACTGTCACCTTTGATCTGCACGCCCTGCCCACTGCCTCTGCCACTGATGGTGCTGATGCTGATGCTGGTGCTGGTGCTGATGCTGGTGCTGGTACTCCTGCTGTGAGTAAGGGAGCTCTGTCCGCTGCTTCTCTAGGCTCCTCTATCCCAAAGCTCAAGGAGACTGTACAGAAGAAACGTTCCTCCTCCTCCACCTTGTCACCCGCCTCTTGCACTGCGCTCGCTCTCCCTTCCCCCTCTGTGAGACGGGCTCAGAGGGAGGAGCGGATGGAGGCGCTGGTGATGGCTCTGCCCGGCTCCTGTGGTGTGGATTTCAACGCTCTCCTGCCCCTGGCGCTGCAAGCAGGCTTCCACCAGGTGAGCTGACCGAAGGGCTGTTGTATGATGGGCAAAAGGACAGCAGCCGGAGGGAGGAGCGGATGGAGGGGCTGGTGATGGCTCTGCCGGACTCCTGCGGTGTGGACTTCAATGCTCTCCTGCCCTTGGCGCTGCAAGCAGGATTTCATCAGGTGAGCTGGCTGCTGGGCTGTACTGTGATGGGCATGGGGATAGGATAGGAGCCGGAGGCAGGAGAGGGGACGGAGGGGCTGGTGATGGCTCTGTCGGACTCCTGTGGGGTGGACTTCAACGCCCTGCTGCCCTTGGTGCTAAACTCGGGTTTTCACCAGGTGAGTTGGCCGTTGCTCTGTGCTGTGATCGGCAAGGAAACTGGATACCGATTGTTCCTATTATCTTACTCCAACTCTCCTTCTCCCTCCCCGCCACCTCCCTTCCCAACCAGGTGTGTGCGCGTCTATTCATGCGAACACACGGCATGCTCGGCATACACCAAGCGCTCTCCTCCCTCCTCACAGGAGTCTGTGAGGAGGGAGGAGAGCGCTTGGTGTATGCCGAGCATGCCGTGTGTTCGCATGAATAGACGCGCACACACCTGGTTGGGAAGGGAGGTGGCGGGGAGGGAGAAGGAGAGTTGGAGTAAGATAATAGGAACAATCGGTATCCAGTTTCCTTGCCGATCACAGCACAGAGCAACGGCCAACTCACCTGGTGAAAACCCGAGTTTAGCACCAAGGGCAGCAGGGCGTTGAAGTCCACCCCACAGGAGTCCGACAGAGCCATCACCAGCCCCTCCGTCCCCTCTCCTGCCTCCGGCTCCTATCCTATCCCCATGCCCATCACAGTACAGCCCAGCAGCCAGCTCACCTGATGAAATCCTGCTTGCAGCGCCAAGGGCAGGAGAGCATTGAAGTCCACACCGCAGGAGTCCGGCAGAGCCATCACCAGCCCCTCCATCCGCTCCTCCCTCCGGCTGCTGTCCTTTTGCCCATCATACAACAGCCCTTCGGTCAGCTCACCTGGTGGAAGCCTGCTTGCAGCGCCAGGGGCAGGAGAGCGTTGAAATCCACACCACAGGAGCCGGGCAGAGCCATCACCAGCGCCTCCATCCGCTCCTCCCTCTGAGCCCGTCTCACAGAGGGGGAAGGGAGAGCGAGCGCAGTGCAAGAGGCGGGTGACAAGGTGGAGGAGGAAAAAAAAAAAAAAAAAAAAAGCGAACGTTTCTTCTGTACAGTCTCCTTGAGCTTTGGGATAGAGGAGCCTAGAGAAGCAGCGGACAGAGCTCCCTTACTCACAGCAGGAGTACCAGCACCAGCATCAGCACCAGCACCAGCATCAGCATCAGCACCATCAGTGGCAGAGGCAGTGGGCAGGGCGTGCAGATCAAAGGTGACAGTCGCAGATGTAAGATACACAAAGATTGTGTTAAGGGAGGTTCGGTCTAGCTCCACTTTCCCCGCTGCTGCCGCCTCTGCCACGAGCTCGAGCACCCTGCCTGCTGCATCCCCGAGCCTGTCTAAGCCCAAGCCTAGTCCCAGACCTACATCCGAGCCATGTTCCGAGCCTGCATCCGAACCTACAGCTACAGTGTCGTTTCCTCCCTTATTGGAGTCCTCGTTACTCCTTATTGCATCCGCAGCCTCGCACCAGGAGCGAACTATTTCTAGTAAAGTATAAACAAGTCTACCACCAGCGGCTGGATCTACAGTAGCATCCTCGTTATAAGCTGCACCCGCACCCCTACCATTCACCAGCGTCGAATCCTCGCTCGTTATGGGCTGCTCTGTACTCGTTTGTGGCTGATCCAGTATGGACACAGAGCGGAGAATCACGCGCAGCACAGAAAGTGTGGCGCGGGGATCGAAGGAAAGAAGGCGAGCGAGGGGCGAGCAGAGGAGGGCGTGGGAGGAGGGGGAGAGAGAGGCAGAGCGGTGGTGGGGTGGGCGGTGGGGTTTCAGGAGGAAGTTAAGGAGTTCGGCTTGGGCTGAGGGTAGGAGAGACGGGGAGATTGCGCCACTGCCTGTGAGGGTGGGTAATGGGAGGGAAGGGGAGGGGGGGAGGTGGGGGGTGATACAGACAGAGAGCAACAAGGGCGGTGGGGTTTGAGGAGGAAGTTGAAGAGTTTGGCTTGGGCTGACGGCAGGAGGGATGGGGCGATGGTGCCACTGCCTGTGAGGATGGGCAATGGGAGGAGAGATGGACTTGTCCAGAGGGACATCTGGACAAGTCCATCTCTCCTCCCGTTGCAAGATTGGGGTACAAGGGACTAAGAGACAGTACGAGACTGAATAGTCACCACAAAAGAACCACAGCGAACAGGAGAGAATTTTGCAATTTTGCAACGCAAGAAGTTGACCTCGAAGACCAGAGAACAAGAAGCAGACAGGGTGCTTCCTGAAAGGAAGTTGATTCTTGGGACGCCTAAAAAGGAAACAAAGTAGAGAAGCACGCAGGTGATTTTACCTGGAGGGAAGTTGAGGCTGGAGAAGGTGAGCTTGAGGAAGAGCAGCAGGCGGTAGCTGAGGTGGGGGGAGAGAGTAGAAGAGAAGGACAAGAGGGATAGGACGAGCGGGGAGGGAAATCGAAAGAGGGAGTAGGCAAAGGAGAGATGTGAGAAAGGTGTAGAATGACATGTCACTTTCCACAAAAACCTCTCTTTCTAGTCATTAAAGTAACAAGCTGCTTACGAGGAGCCTTTTGGAGTCACTCAAAATTCATTATTTTCACACAAACTGCTCTTGTTTCCAGTAATTGAAGTCACGAGCTGATGAAGGGCCAACTCACCCGCACTGCCGGCCCTCCTCCCTCTCCTCTTTATTCTCCCCCTCCTGCTTCTTATGCCTCTGCTTCTCCCGACTCCTCTCCCCCCCCGAACCACTGCTGTGAGTTCCGGAGGTGGAGGAGGAGGAGAAGGATAGGGAGAGGAGAGAAGATGGAGGAGGAGGAGGAGGCGAGGAGGGTGGAGAGGAGCTGCTGGGCTGGCGAGACGAAATCCGCGAGGGCGCGAGTGAAGAGGTAGATGAGGGCAGAGTGCAGGCTGTGTTGACGGCACAAGCGCACCACCTGGGAGGAAAGGCGGAGAGAAAGGGAAAAAAAGGCATGGAAGGGTGTGTGCATGGGAGAGAAGGGTGTTGACGGAGCAGGCGCACCACCTGGGAGCGATAAAGATGGGGGGAAGGGGGTGTGCAGAGAAAGGGGGAATAATAAATGGGTGGGCGTGGGTGCATGTGTATGAACGGACTGTTGTTTCGTTTCGCACATTCTAGGGGCCGAACCAAACCTGGCTGACATTGAGCGAGGCAATGTCCATGTGCAGTACAGCACGCACTGCTGCACACATTTGACAAATCTCAAAGGCCAATCAATCAAAGGAGGCTGAGTTCACACCTGACGTCAACCAGGTGGTGCAGCACTGCTGCACGAGTTTGAGAAGTCTCAAAGACGAATCAAAGGAGGGGGCTGAGTTCGCACCTGGTTGACGTCAAGCGAGGCGATGTCCATGTGAGCACGCACTGCTGCACGCATCGCCATCACTCATTGGTTGGTAGAGAACCGACTCGTGCAGAAACGCTACCCTCGCAGATGGAGATCAATCGCACCTGGTTGATGTCGAGTGAGTCGATGTCCATGTGAAGCACACACTGCTGCACGTACCCATCGCCGTCACTCATGGTTGGAAGGGTAGCAGTGTGCTAGAGAACCCACACATGCAAAATAAAGAGATCAATCACACCTGGTTGATATCGAGCGAGGCGATATCCATGTGCAGCACACACTGCTGCACGCGTGACAGCCACCCCCTCTCACTGTAATGCTCCACTAGCGCTTGCATCACCTGGTAAGGGGTGCCAGGGAGGGGAGAAGAGAGCACACACAGAGGGTCAGAGACAGACCATCTTCACCAGAGTTTACGAGGGCGCACATATGCGCATGCATGAACAAAGCACCTATACCATCACCAGGCACTCTCAAAAACTAATGTTCCCTCCCATTCCCGGTATTCCACTAGCGCATGCCTCCCGTACCTGGTGAGACCGTATTGTCAAGGTTAACAAACACAGGTGCATCTAGGCAGGTGTTACGTCCAGAAAGGATCATGCGGAGGCGGTTCCTCCATCTGGCCCAATCTCAACTCTGAGCGAAGGTACATCTAAGCAGGTGATACCTCACTTCATTCCCACGCACAGATGCATGGAGGCAGGTCTTACCTCAGGAGGGAGCGTGCTGAGGTGGTCTGTGAGGATGTATGGCTCTAGGAGCTCCAGGAAAATGCCTGCAGGGAGCAGCAACAGGGCAAAGAGGGGAGAGAGAGATTTGAGGGGTGTACAAGTGGACTCAGAAAGTCAGCGCTATGACGAGGTGGTCTGTGAGGATGTATGGCCCCAGGAGCTCCAAGAAGATGCCTGCGGGGAGCAGAGGCGCGGGGAGGGGGTGGGGGGAAGTAAGTATGTATGAGTGCTGTGCGTGGAGTCACATGTCACA